GTGATTTCTACAAATGCCGCCCACGCCAATCCTCCAGTAGCATGGTGCAACACGTGCACCATACCACACTAGAGAATGTGAGTCAGAGAACAACACAGAGGATCAGCAGCAGAGACAGTGCAACTTGTCTCTTGCAGAATCTGCTGCCTTGTGGATAATTTTTCTTCAGACATTTCCTAAGGCATCCTTCCTCAATCTTTATGTCAAATAAGGGCTCTCTGCAGGGACAGAAAGCATAAGGCAAAGACAGCTCAGCCAAAAAGCTCATGTACATTTGTAACATTCATTCCTCTCTTTCCCACCATTTATTTCTCTCTCGTTCTTCTTGTACAGATCTTTCACTTGTTCCCACAACATGGTTTATTTTCAGGGTGTCATTATACAATGAATTCCTCTAAATCTCTTAGGCTACGTCTACATTGGCCCCTATTCCGTAATAGGGATGCTAATGTAGCACTTGGGAATAGGCAAATCCGCGGGGGATTTAAATATCCCCTGCGGGATTTGCATTTTCATGGCTGCCGCTTTTTTCCGGCTTGTAGATAAGCCGGAGAAAAGCGCCAGTCTGGACGCGATCCTCCGGAAAATAAGCTCTTTTCCGGAGGATCTCTTATTCCCACTTTCAAGTGGGAAAACAGCCTGAGACTGACTCAACTATAATGTTTTTAAAACAATAAAGCTGTTCTTTTATTTGCTTTTTGCTATTGCGAATCATGAGGTTTCATGTTTTTGAGCTATTCACTGTGACAAAGGACTTAGAATATTTTTTTAACTGAATCTGAAATGCTAATATAGGGACATGACTAAGAGCTGGGGCTCTAAGAAAAATAACAAGTACCACAAGACTGGCAATAAAACCATGACAGCTGCCAACATTGAATGGCACTTAACCTTTAGCACAGGCACCATATGGCTACCTGGTATCAGTGTTCCTTGTAGCTGCATACATTTACACTGACTCAGTGCCATTAAACAGCATGCATGAGACCTCTCATTGGACGCTCTGTGTCCCACTCCCCAGCTACACCTTCTTCACCTTTCTTCTCTGAAGGTCAGCTGTACATCACACACACATCCCATTCCCACTCCCTGCACTCATGCACACACCCTTTTTGCCCAGGGATTAAAGACTGCAGTCATTAAAACTCCGTAGCTCTTTAAATGTCAATATTAATGTAGTACAAATTAGTATTTACAAAGTGCTGGCTTTTTCTCCTACAAAACTTGGAAATTGTCAGCCAGAACTGTAGGAAATGCGAGTACAAAATGATATTGGGTTCCCATGTACTGGGTTAAAAATTACCCCTCCCCCAAAGAGAGTCTCAATTGCTACAGTAAGAGAGGCTTCATTCTCTGTCATTTGCTGCCCAAAAGATGGAAATACTGCTCTAGTGTGACAACAGCTGTCTCTTTTCAGAAGCAAGGTTGGGAAGGGCAGAGTGCCCTAGCCAGAGGCAACATAAGGGGCTTAAAGAGGAGAAAAAATGGGGATTTAATGGGGATTCTTGGGAAGATGGATAGGCCTCTCAGGGGAAGGGATAGTCAGTAAAGAGGAAGCAAATAGGATGAAAATCCTCTTGTTCCACTTTTTCTAAATATTGCCTAAAATTTAATATGCCTCTCAGTATGTCAAGTGGTTCAAATAGAGTGTGCATCAGGTGCAAAGAGCAAAAGCATGTGGAGTGAAATACCAGCCAAAGAAAAGAGGAATTAGCAAGATCTGTTTCAGAATTGTTGGATTCTGTTCAAAGATCTGTGTGTGTGCATACACTTACAGTGTATGTAGGTTTGTAGGCAGATACAGTGTTGTATATATACAATTATGGAGGTGTCCTGTCAACTCCATAATTATCAATGTATTGAAATTTGCAGTTAAAGCAACATAAAAATGTGTGTCATTCTATAAAAATCTAATGCAATCTTATTTTTTATTTTAAATAGGAATCACCAAGAGGCATTTTTAGTGAGATTAAAAGCAGACAAGGGCTTAGAAAGTCCAGTAGCTCAAAAATCAAAAGCCCAGGGTGTTCTGGGAACTGTGTGGACACGCTAAGCCTGCTAGATTAAAAAAAATCACAATCCTCTCCACTGCCATGCAGGAGATTAGAGTCCAATACATCTGATTAAGGAATAGAGTGGAATCTCTTTTCAGTGCTTTCTTTCTTTTTCTTATCTTCATTGTTCCTTCATTGGCTGGTTCTGCAAGATGGTATGAGTGATGTTGACTTCAGGAAAGAAATTATTTTACTCCTCTGAGTCTGTCTTATTTCTGTAAGTAGAGTAAGTCCTGGGTAGCTCCTGCTTCCTTGTTAGAGACCTGAGAATTTTCCTCTGCCTTCGATTTCTCCTGCCTCCTCTTTTGTACCTTTGGACTTGCGTCATCATCATCAACTTTCTGACCAATAGCTGATGGGCAGGACTCCTTTTGGAGCCACTCACTGCCACAATATTTCCAACCACTCTTAAGGGACTGAACATGCTGTTTCCAACGCAATCCTTAACCTCTGTCACAGTGGGGTTATTTTTATTTGCCTTCTGGTTTCTGAATCTTTAGGCTATGTCTACACTATAAGTGTTTTAGGTAGAAAATATGCCATTGAGAGACTCATTAGCATAAGTTGCAACATCATTAGCATATTTTCTGCCGTTTCTTTTTGCTCAAGGGGTTTTTGCGCAAAAAGAAGCAGTGTGGACTCTTTTTTTTTTTTTTTTTTTTTTTGCACAAAACCCCCGTTTTGCACAAGATCCTTATGCCTCTCCAGGACAGGCATAAGGATCTTGCACGAAATGGGAGTTTTGTGCAAAAATGAAAAGTCCACAGTGCTTCTTTTTGCACAAAAACCCCTTGCGCAAAAAGAAATGGTAGAAAATATGCTAATGATGTCGCGACTCATACTAATGAGTCCCTCATTAGCATATTTTCTGCCGAAAAAACTTGTAGTGTAGACGTAGCCTTAGGGGTACATTCCCTTCATATGTTCGTGCTTTTCTCTGCATCCTTGAGAGTTAGAAACACTTTTTTTAAAATGAAATTTGACATTCTCATACACTCTCTTGATTTCAGCTACTGGTGCTTTAAGAACATTTCTATCATTAATTTATTGTGTGACTCATGATAAAATTGTGAGAGTCGGCAACACTGCCTCATAGCTATGAAATTAGGTAGAAGCCAGTTTGAATGGGACTAGTTAGAGGACATCATTGTTCAATTATTTTTAAAAATCTGTAATGAAAAGCCACATTTGAAATTAAAAGATGTGGCCCCCTTTTTCCCCTTGATTCAAGTGAGAGAATAAATGTTCTGCATTCACATTTAGCCCTTGTTACTGCAATGAGATATACAATAAGAGAGACTCCTGCTTCCCCGTGGATCCCAGTTGATTCTAATAGAGCTTTACACGAGTATAGGAGTGTCTCATCCATAGGATAAATTGGGGAGGCTGCCCCATGCCCCACACTTTTGGGGGTCCCGCAGTGGCTGCCTCAACCATCCTATGGACGGGAAGGACAGTTCTGGGGGATTGTAAGAGCCTGGTGCAGCAGCAGGGGATGCCCCACCACCACCACACATGCATCTACTGTGTGCGGCTTCTCAGCAGCTGCGGGAAGCAGAGTGACCCTCCCAGGATGCTCCATTTCTCACTGCATGATGCAGCGGGCCAGGAGAGGGTGGCACAGTGGAGAGCAGTGGGCTACTGCACTGCTCCAGCTCCCACTGCCTGAGGAGCAAGTGAGGGGTGAGGCAAATCCTGTTGCCAATGCACAAGGCCCCTGGAATATCCTGGGCCACTTTGCTCAGATAAGAGGATAGGGTAGAGTGGGGCTTGGGAAAGGGATGGGGTTGGAAGAAGGGTAGAGCCTGCTGTGGGAGTGGCAGGCTTGACTCAGGCCCCACAGCCCCCTCCGGAGAGCCGTGTATACTTGCATGTGTCTGGGCCTTGAAAGCCACAGTGATAGGCACTTTAGACAGATCTACTGTGCCTCACTGCAACTTATTCATTAAACTGTAATTAGGGAAGACATCCTATTCCTGCATATCATAGAATCATAGAATCATAGAATAATAGGACTGGAAGGGACCTCGAGAGGTCATCGAGTCCAGCCCTCCGCCCTCAAGGCAGGACCAAGCTCCACCTACACCATCCCTGACAGATGTCTATCCAACCTGTTCTTAAATATCTCCAGAGAGGGAGATTCCACCACCTCCCTTGAGGTGCTCAATACATTCCCCCAGTCTAATTTGCATTCCTTTCTTCATTATATTTCATTTTGGTAGTCAAGCCCTCAAGCAAATACTTTTCTAGAGGATTGTTAAATATATGACACAGTTGAAGTCACTGGGATCCACCTATGCAGCAAGCAGAGTCACCTGGAACTCACCTTTCACGTTGATTGCTTAATTATTCTTCACTAACTTTTTTGTGGATGTGAGTTACACTTTCTAAAAAGAACATGATGAATTGTTTTAATAATTAAACAGTAACTTAGTAACCTATCTAGCTCTACTAAATATTTAATAGTTAAACCTTTAAATGGCTAAGCTCCTTCAAGTAGATTCCCTTGTTTGTCACCATCCTACAGCATAATGGGGCTTGTTAGCTATTAAGGGAGACATAAATCTTTTGCATTGGGTTTATAGCTGGCCAGTGCAATGACAGCAGATTCAGACATAATTCCAAATGAATGTTTCCAAGGGGGAACTTGAGTCATACTCAAATGACTTTACCTCTGTTTTCGTTTTTTGGCCTGATGGTTCTTAATTCCTTGATTATTTATTATTGCAATAAGCCTAATCCTGAGTATTCATGCAGCATTACTGTTGGAGCAATAAACACTTCTCCAGTGTTTCCATTGCAAATCAGCAGTAATTGGATCTGCTGTTACCTCATGGAAAACTTTTGAAAGAAACATTCCGTGTGAAGACAGTTTTGAATTTCTGTCAATTTATTCTTTGTGTTTTCTGTCATCGTGTAACCCTCTGTTCTTTCACTTCACTACAGGCTGAATTCTCCGAGCTGAACCTGGCTGCTTATGTTACTGGTGGCTGCATGGTGGACATGCAAGTCGTAAGGAATGGCACTAAGGTAGTAAGGTGAGAAATAATAACTTTTCTTGCATAACTTTCTTTCTAGAGAGATATGGGAGCAAGTAGGATATTGGATGCCTGGCCACAGCCCATTGAAGTGAATGAGCAGACACTTATTGATTCTGGTGGGTTGTGCATCAGGCCTTAAATGTACGTTATACCTTTGTTTTGTTGTTTATCATCATCACTTGTTCCCACCCATTAATATAGGCAGAAACATCCCATTCTCATAATCTTTTGAACCTCAGGCCTGATAGTACTGACAATAGTCCTCATTTCACTTTTCACTCATGCAGTCTCCTGCTGCTACACTTCGACTGTAAATCCTGCTTTGCATGCACAGCCAGTCCCATATGCAGTCTACTTTGACAGGAACAGTCTTCTCAAACATCTGCAGGTCTGGTGGCCGTGGAGTATTTCCATGTGCTTCATCTACCAACCTGCATTCTGCTCACCACCATTTTTCTTAGGGCAGCTTTTCCTCTTCCACACTGCCTTCTGAGTTGCCTCAAGGGAGACTGCCACATCTCAGTCTGTCAGAGATTTCTGTAGTTACTAGCATTTCAGCATATCCACCTTGCATCACCTACAGTCTACTTGCAGGCAATGGCACATCCACCAGGGCTGCCCTCCATTCATCCTGACCATCTATCCATTTCATTAGTCAGACAGCATTAGCCCTCTCCTTTCTGGTATTAAGGTGCTCAGAGTGATATGTTGAGGACAATTTAACCTATGCCATATAGAGAGCAATGGTTACCTCTCTGTTCCCTGATATAATGACACTGTATAGGCAGCCCGCAACTCATTTTTTCCCCTAAGTTTTTAGTTTGTTTTTGTCATTACCTTTTCTCAAATTTATTTTGTTTTCTTTACCCCAGTGTAATAGCTTACATTTTTCAGGCTGGAAATGTAATCTTTTTTCCTACCCATTTTTATAACCACTGTAAGTTCTCCTTGTACTATTTCTCTTATACTGAGTGTATTATATTACATACCCCAAATACAGTATCTTAACTAACATGCTCGCTACCAGATTCTTCAAGAGCATTAATATAGTTGTTAAAATTGATTGGCTCTCAAAGTGATCACAGTGACATCTGACTAGATATATCCCACAAACTTTATGCACTGCTGTTGAGCTTTGTTTATAGTCTTCCTGTCATTTTTCAGTAATGGTGCCATGCTTGTATTTGCAAATTTCCAGTGATTTTTTTCATGCAAGATTTCAAAAGTCTGTGTTAAATATTTAAAGGTAAGATCGCTGACATCTGTCGTGTTCACTTTTCCCACTAATTTTTGCCTCCCAATACGTGAATTATTTCTGTGCTATGTGAATCCAAAATCTTTCATTTGCACTACTGGTGCATCCATCAGTTGGTTTTTGGTGCCAGTCTGCTCCTTCATTCATTCACACAAACAATTGGAATGCTCACCGAGAAAATTGTCTGTGTTATTCCCATTTTCTTTTCTGCTCCCAAGTCCTTAAAGTTAGTTATTCACTAGTCTATCAAAATTTCCCTTAATTTATTACATTGCTACTGAACATAAAACTTTGTATCTGAAAAAGAGGGGTGTTTTCTGTTTGTGGTGAGTGACATTATGGAGTGACTTTCTGCATGGATATTTATATTTGAGAGTGGGTGTGTGTATCTGGGGTGTTTGCATCTTTATCTGTGTGTACCTGTAGATGTGGATGTTTTGTATGGTGGTGCTGACTTGTGGGTAGGTATCTGTGTGGGTGTCTGTCATATGTGGCTCTGGAGATGCATTATATCCATTTGGACAGATTTCAGTTTTGACATATTACAGCACACACAGAATTTGTTCACCACATGGCTGGTAAGGCCCCCAATTAGCTCGCTTGGGAACACAGCCGCTTTACATTACCATCGTTGGAGTGGTTTAGAAGATAAAGAGAATGAAAAAGAAATTCTTCCGCACTTTGGGAAGCAAATAAAGGAGCACACTCATAAATCTTGTGGAAAGGCTCTTCCCTCCCTCCAGCCTTGGTCAGAAGAGAATTCCCACACTATTCAAATTCTTGTGTGGGGCTGGAGAACAAATTTCCAACCAGTGTGTCATTAAAAACATTACAGGACTTGTCCGTAATACTGTGGGAATAAATTAGCACTCCCGGCAGGCACTGAGGAGCAGAAAATTCCTCAGAAGAATCATGAATAGTTTTTACATCTAAAATACCCTCATTCCTTGTCCTGTTCTCCAACCCTCACGCCTACCTAAAGTCAAGCTAAGAGAAGATGAGAAAACACGGGACAAAATTCTGTCTTATTTTTCTGATGGCACATGTATCACACTGCACTCTTTCACTCCACACCTGCCTCTCCTATCTTCCTCCTCACTCTCTTCCCCTGTGTCCTGGTCATTTCATTCCCTCCGGCTACGTCTACACTGGCATGATTTTCCGGAAATGCTTTTAACGGAAAAGTTTTCCGTTAAAAGCATTTTTGGAAAAGTGCATCTAGATTGGCAGGATGCTTTTCCGCAAAAACACTTTTTGCGGAAAAGCGTCCGTGGCCAATCTAGACGCGCTTTTCCACAAAAAAGCCCCAATCGCCATTTTCGCGATTGGGGCTTTTTTGCGGAAAACAAATCTCTGCTGTCTACACTGGCCCTTTTGCTCAAAAGTTTTTCGGAAAAAGACTTTTGCCCGAATGGGAGCAGCATAGTATTTCTGCAAAAGCACTGACAATCTTACATGAGATCGTCAGTGCTTTTGCGGAAATTCAAGCGGCCAGTGTAGACAGCTGGCAAGTTTTTCCAGAAAAGCGGCTGCTTTTTCGGAAAAAGTGGCCAGTCTAGACACAGCCTCCCTTTGTCTTTCCATTTAGCTAATACCCTACTAATGATAACCTGCCCCACAAATAAAAACCAGTAATATTGTGGCACTAACATGACAGTTGCTACCATTGCATTGTTCACTTGGCATGTATGGCAGACTGCATTCCCTGACCTTTTTGTCCGTTTAGATTGCAGTCTATTCAGTGCAGGGCTTATTTTGTGATTATACAGTGCCTAGCACAATGGGCTCCTGTTTTCAGTTGGTTTAGGGCACCCCTATGTAATTCATAGTGCTCTTAAACATGAAAATATACATACATGCCAGTAGTGTATATGCACATGTACTGTACAACCATAGACACAGAGACATAAACACACCCACACTTTAATTTCTTGACACACATGCAACTTGTCTGACACGTGCAACTCACCTTCTCCCCCCTTGTGCACATGTTTCTCCTAGCCACAAGAGCGCACATGTTCTATACCCATAAATCCAGCCATGCCACAGATAGCCTTACCCAGGCACACAACTCACACACATGTACACGCAGACCCCTAATGAAGATAATTTGATACTCATTGTGGTTGGGTTATTCCAGTCACAGCAAGAATGAAACCCTAAAGAAGATGGGAAGAATTGACATGCCTGTAATATTGTGGGAATAAATTAGAGAGATTCTAAGTGCTCTCAGACAGCACTGAAGAACAGAAAATTCCTCAGAAGAAGCGTGAATAGTTTCTACTTCTAAAATACCCAAACCACAATGCAACATGCTTTGGTTTAAGGAATTGCTTGTATTCATTTAAATAATGGAAGGGCTGATGCAGCCCAGGGAAACAGGAAACGTCCAGAAAAAAAAAAAAGGATTAAATTTCAAGGCCATAGAGTGTAGAAAATATTGATTGAATATAAACAAAGCAAGCAATTGTTTTTTTTTTTTTTGGCAATGGGATTGATTGGGGGCTTGGTTTAGGTAACACAGTTAAAACACAGGTACAATGATCAGATAGCAAAAGTTAGGATACTGTTTGTTTGTTTGTTTGTTTGTTTGTTTGTTTGTTTTGGTTAGGGGAGATATAGATGTGTGTGTATAAGACAAAGCCCCAAACATCAGAATGGTCCCAATAACATTGGAGCATTTGGTCACTCTAGCCACAAGGGATGTGAACTTATCCCATGGATGAATAGTTCTGGAGGTCATATTTTATTCACGTCTTCCCCCCCCCCACCCCACACACCTCACTAAATCTCAGTTAATTATCAATCAGACTTTTCAGAAGCAGTCAGAACATACCTAGATTGCGAGATATAGTGCTGTTAAATTTTTAATATCCTAAATGCCTAGAAATCCCCTTGGTGTGACATAGGAAGGAATGTTCTTTGGGTGCTTGTTCGCTGTCCATTCAACATAAGTATGTGTGCTCTCCACATGCATCAGTGCCGCAAGATTTTCCCTCAGCAATATCCGTAGGGAACTGGCTCCAGTGCCCCCTGTAGTGGCACACACATCCCATGCTACATAGGGCACTGCTGGGCCCCTCCCTCCCCGCTTCTCTGACTTGAAAGACTCTGCTACCTGTTGCAGGCCTATGCCAGTCAGCGACCCGCATGCTGATTGCTTTCACTGCCTTGGTGAAGGTCACATTTCTGACAAGTGTCAAATCTGCAGATCCTTTCATCCAAGGACAATAAAAACAGGGTTATTCATCTAAAATCCCTACTGATGGAGTCTGCCCTCGTTCCCCAGGACCAGCACTTGGACTTGGCACCAAGCACCAGTGCCCTGGTGCGGAGTGCTTCTTCAGTGCCATAAAGCCCGCACCAGTCATCTTCAGTGACCTCAGCTAAGTGATGAAGAAGTTGGTAAAGGAGAAGTCTCCCATCCCATGCAAGAAGGTGAAGAAAGGGAACCATTGGGGAGATCGTGCTCCAGACAAGCCACCGGCACAGCCCTATCCATGCAGCCTTCCCTGCTCCCCATTGCCCACTCTGGATGTTCAGGTTCTTTCCATGCTGGAGGCACAAGACATTATGGCTATGCTGGTACCGCCTCCTCCGGCACCATTTGGACCCCAGCATAGAAGGAAGCTTCCTTGTGCCCCTCAGTCGCCAAGTACTCAACGCTGTCATACTCCCACCCAGACAGACAAGAGAGTCCCTCATAGCCCAATACAGTCAGTAAGAGAGAGATCAGGGCCAG